ACCAGACTACACAGCGCAACAACCCAGAAGACAGAAATCTTCATACTCATCGCCCTGATGACGGAGGAGTATGACCTCTGAAACGTTGGTTAATATCGACCAGACTACACAGCGCAACAACCTAGAAGACAGGAATCTTCAAACTCACCGCCGTGAAAACCTCAAATCTTACACAATACTAACATACGTAACATTGTTTACGATCAGATACAGTGCGGACAAAAGTAAATTCCAGAAGTTAAAACATGAATTATTCATTTACTGCCTTAGGTACAGTAAGAATCAAGACAAAAGTAGGCTCAGATTTTTAGATTTCACTCAATCGATTCTTTTTCTGAACTAATACACATAACAGTTGTTTTGGACTTCGTCCACCGTCTAAAATATAAATTTATATTTCTAGAACGTTCGAAATGTGATAAGAAGTGGGGATGACGACAAACTTCCCATCTGTTGCTTCACGTGGTTAACTATCCTCAGACCAGCCAACTTTTTTACCTGAAGACGAATGCAGAATCCAACTGTCGGAACGTTGTAGTTTTATTATTTAGACGACGAACGAAGTTCGAAAGAACAAATTAACATATTATAACGCACCATAATAAGAAAACCTTCAAATTTACATTTTATTCAATTTAAAATTTGGTATAACTATGGTGCAGTAGTGGCTATTTCTTAATAATTACCTTATGACTTAATTATGTCACACGAGCTGGCAAATGGTTAAAGGTAACACACACATACACGTACATTCATGTTGGGACCTGCCAATTTTCAGTTCCCTATTGCATATTTGAGGAAACATGGGTACATTAAAGAAAGAAACAGGGTATTTCTGAAGAGGAAATAACTGTATATTTATTTTACACCAGAACATTACACAACATAATAATTAATTTACTTTCATGAAAAGGCAAAGTTAATCTTGCGTAATATGTAATAATATGAGTGACTAGTGTTTGATATTGTATTAAACTGTAGTCTTCTTTATACAAATACGAAACCTGGCAGAATTCTGATGTCAAGGATATAAGCCTGTGACAATATAACCACGCTATAATGTATATGAAGCCATAAGACTTGTCAACTAATTAATAAAACACGCCATACATTTAATCTGCACGTGTACTTTAAGCACATCAAAGTTCTGCCGTATTTTGTAGGACCAGGCACCGAAACACATCATTAAGTATAGCTCACTGGGTGGTAATATTCAGCATGCGAAAATCCTAAGCAAAAACGTAGAGATCACAAACTAACTGCAATAAATTATTTATTTTAAAATATAACACTCAATCATACCAATTTTATTTTTATAAATTTTAAAAAAAGGCTCGATTTATTAATGTTCTTGCTAATTAGGAATTCAGGGGATATGAAGGGGAAGGATTATGGGAGAAATCGCGTAATGGTAAGTTCCACAATTTGTAAACTCCACAAAATATCATGATCATGGGGCATAGATGGAAGGATATTGTTAAAATTGATCTTAATGAAATAGTGTGCAAAGATGATAAAAGGGACAGGTGGCGAGCTCTTGTGAGCACGATAACAATCTTCCGCCTCCATAAAAGGCGGGGAGTGGTTGAACTTCTCAAGGAGGGTTCAGCTTCATTGAGTTAGTTATCAGTAATTAATGCAGAAATCACGAGTGATATCTAATAGCTGATCATTGATTTTACATAGAGTATTTCATCAGGTGATATAAATATTATTTTTAATCTAATTTATCACTTCATTATATGATCAGACACCTACAATATCTTTGCAATGTCAACTACCTCCTCCTTTCGGACATTTCATCACGGTAGTCACTTGAGCCTCCTTCACTGTCAATTAAACAAATTAATTGTAAAAAGTGTTTAGAAACGTACTCCTGCCAAAAGTTTACTTTGTTATCACGTTTTCACAATTAAAACAACAAAATAAGTCAGAATTTGAGACAGAGTGAGGAATAAAGAATTTTTCAGCTTTAATTTATAAGAATACCTTTTGGCACTTTTTTAAAAAAAAGCCTACCGATTACTTTACAAAAGTAAGACCAGGACCTCTTCCGAAAAGTAAATGAAAGTAGAAGTTTACTGAATTCTGGGAAACACAAGAATACATTCATTTTTTGTTGTTGATATTTTGCTTATATACCCGGTTTCTGAGCGATTTAATATACTGTTACATAATGTTACTATAGGATATTAAGAAGAATTGCTCCAGGCGTGTGTGAATTTTCCGACTTCAATCAAAATGTAATAATGTTAATTTGGAATTAATAAACACTTTCTATTTCCTAAATTATCAGCTTCTGTGTACATATCATAAAAAATATGAATTTCTTTTTAATTTAACCGCTTAATTTAGCATTTAATAATGAACTTAAATTTAGATAATGTACAATTATGGAAAATTGTGCTGTTCCTAACACTATCATTTGTTATAAATTACAAATAAATTGCAAGATAGTATTATTATAAAATAAGTAAACAAATAAAAGTAGCTTCAAGGGCAAATTGATATACCACTTTTTGTTTTAACTTTATAAATGAATTGGCTCAATTATAGTTTGAAGTTCCATAAGTACATGTCAGGGATACGGAACCAAATTAACTTCATTAAAACCTGAAAGTTATTGTTTAAATATCATTCTCGAAGATAATGATTTATGCCAAATATATGTTCGTGGATTTGACGCTAGATAATTCAAATATGGAAATTTTTTTTAAAAAATATGCTTACACATTAGGCCGCAGTAAATCCTGAAATTATTTATATCTGTTAATTTTCTTTCGCGTTATTTTTGGCAATGTTAAAACCTATTTTTAACCTACAACAGTCTCGGTAATACTGCTGCAAAACACTTTACTACGCGTCCCGCGATACACTTCATACGCGATCAATAGTGCGCGCACATATTCAGCAAGAAGCAGGCTTGTGATATGTAATGACTCGGGGCTTACATGATTCGACAAAAGCACACAGAAATTCTGCATTGAAATTAAAGTCTAGTGTGTTAATACACTATTTTAAAATTACCATGAAATATACAGAATATTCGGCCCAATACTTTTCTTTAACCAGAACCAAATATTATTGAAACTGGACACTTTTCATGAATAAAACATTTAATATCTAAATTTCACTCAGTCGATAACATTGTGCGAGATTGCGTAAATTCAGTCCGTGAAGAATAACAAATTAATAGATAATTACGAACTCCGGAAAATTTTTGTAATGACTTTTATGGAACTATAGCTGCAGACGAAGAAAAATTTTGTAATAACTTTTATGGAACTATAGCTGCAGACGAGCTGTATATACAGTGGATTCCGATTGATTTGGACACATCGGGAATAGAAAACTTTGCCCCAATTAAGCGAAGTTCCACGTAAAGAGTTAAAAAAATTTGTTCTTTAAGATGTGTCCCAAGTAATCGGCTACCCCGATTAACCGATGGCCCAATTAACCCGAAAATACTGTATACAGAGGCTGTCTTAATTGACCAAAGACGACTCAACAAGAAAGCAAACTTCCGTGTGAGAAGCGTCTAAAGCCCAAACACTTAAATTACACTTTACGAAATACAAAGTAAGTTTTATGTTTTCAATTAATTTCCACAAATTACCTAATGCATGAAAAGAACACTACATATTTCAACTAGTGAAAATATGTGCATGAACTTAAACTGTTTCCTATGTAATGAAGTGACAACGTGGATTTAAATACTCTGGAGATAAGAGTTTTTAATTTGATGAAATTACAAATTTTAAATATTTTTAAGTTCATTTCAATCTTCAAGTTCTCATTATAAACTGGATATTTGGTTAACATTTTATTCATTATTAAACAAGTAAATTAAAAATATGTGAATTAACACCTGTTCACACGTTTCAGTGTTCCTAGAGTTTTATATATATAATTTTTAACGGACAGAAGTGACGAAAAAAAAATCGAATGTCTGCTGGACACTGAGAAGGAATGCGTCATACTCACACCCGAAACATATCGATCTGTTTATAATTATATATATTTGTCCACGTTTTGTGACGCCTGCATACAATTCACAAATTTATTGAAGTGGATATTGTGATGTCACTAGTCCATAATAAAAAATTCAAACATTAATTTTACATCAAGAGAGAATTGATCAGTTTCCTGGAGATTAATTAAATAAAAACCACGTCACTGACCTATAACAAAAGGTCAAAGGAACGTTATTTACGGTGTAAAATAAATACATTATGTAGAGATATTTTAATATAAAATGTATTAGAGAAGATAATTTCAGAATTTATTTTTAACTACAGAAAAAACATACCCCTTTGTTATATACTAGATACATGGCTTTAATTCGAGAAGATCACAAAGCAATGCAAGTGTTAATACTGCATTCAAAACCTGAATGCCACGCCTACACAATGACATCGACTGAGTTTACAATACATCATATTCGAAACAATCAAATCGCCCTTTTTTCACAGACAACAGTTTAAATTGTATGATTTGTGTTATATATTCTATGTTTTTCATCGAGGAAACTATAAACATATATTTTCATAAATTCATTTTTCGTAAGAGAAACCGATAAGCACCTTACATTTTATACCAACTATTTAAAATTATAAAGTGTATGCCACCATAAATTAATATCGTATGTTGAAATACGTTGGATTTCGTATGAAAGGGGCACACAGATAATTTAATTATAGATAGTTTAAACTGAGGTAAAAATTTATATGAAATGTGATCATAATCAACCGCCTCGTAAATCTTCCATAAATTGAGTTACTTTACGCTGCAGTCGATGAAATGGGCGAGGACTGGAATCTTCAGCTAACATTTCTTAGTATGATATAACAGCAAGACAAAGTGGACAAGTGTAGTATGGCGGAATATAGTGTTCATAATATTTATATAGAATACGTATTAAGCTCATTTCTTGAATGCATCTCGTCATATGATAACGCATCATCACAGTCACTTTCTTCGTCCTTCAAAATAAATTCAGGTTGTACAGATGTAATAAAGCATTACTACGTACACTGTGCACAATTCCTCTACTTATTCTTATTTTCACAGACTTCAGTGTGAATGCGTACACAAAATTTCGAATTTGTCGGTAGCAATATAAGCAAATATAACCGGATAATAATATTTACGTTACACTACGCTCGTGCACAGAAGCAGATAGCACACTTCCCGGAATGTAAACACAGAAGACAGAGTTGACTCTTTCAAATATAAAAAAAATGTTCTTTTTACAATAAACTTTCCAACTTCACACAAAATGACACAAAATTTTCGTAATCACAAAATGTCTGTTTTGTTAAAGAGTGAGTTTATATTACAGCACAGGAAACTACATTCCACAGACAGTTCATTCGTACATAAAAGAATCAGTAGTTTCAAATTAATTATAATTCTATACATATTTACAAGTCAGTACTTATTGGAATGTTTTATGTGTAAGGAAACTTTTAATATTCTTTTCAAGTCGTTTGAAAACTTTAGAATGTTCACGTGTTTTAATTCTAAAGGACAATGGTATTGTTAATTGATAAACTGGACGTGTTCCCTGGAGAAAGGCTGCCTTTTTTTTCTTTTTCGTTGAGACAAAACAAATTTATTTCTTTTTAACTACCATATTCTGTAACTTCGCTTCAGAGTGAAACACCGCGATTTAATCGTATTGAAGTCAAAAGGTTTGCTGTATACAACAAAACGCAGAGAATCTCTCTTATAAATATAAACAAATCTCTTTTGTTTTGGCCCCCAAATTAATGTCTGAATTTTCTCAACCTTTTTCCAAGTCCCTCGAAGGGGCTTATTTTGTGTATGCGCGAGCCCCTTGGAAATTAAAAGATCTCATCACCTAACCCTACTGAGTACCAATTCGCCTGACCTGTGTTTATCAAAATGTTTCGTAAATAGATACGTACGATTCCCGGAAATTTTGATATCTGGAATATCTCGGACTACCGGATCCAATAGAAGTTCTCTCCCTCCTATTTTTTACCTAAATACGAAACAAGATCAATCCTTTGAAAAGTAGCATTTTTTAGAATACTGAAACTAAAAAAACCAGACAATGGAATGGGCAAGTCCAAAAGAATTAAATCAGTAACTTCGTTTCTGTCGTGTCTGGATCATAAAACGCGAGATTGTTCTTGCCCTCCCAGCGAATACAAATCTGTAACACAACAACACTGACTTACACACCGTTTCTAAAATCTGAATTGTTAACTCAGTGAATTGACTTGCTACGACTGAAAGGCCTTGGTTCAATTCCAAGAAGGAATGAGATTTCTGTTGCCCTCATGAAGTCCAGACCGACTTTGAAACTCGCCAGCCTGTTAGTCAGAAACTGCTGTTTGTTTTTCGGTGGTAGAACGGCCGAACCAGAACTACTATTTCCATCTAGTGTCCAGATTAAGAAATGGGTTACGTCTACCCCCTCCCTCTTATAAGCATTGATGGTGAGTTGATTAGTCACGCGGACAAATATGATTTTTATTTACTTTGCGAAATTAGAAATTATTTCCATGAAAACACCTCCAGTTACAAACGCCCTCTACAGGAACCAAATCAACAAAAATTCTCTCTAAGTGGAATGTGCGGAATTACATCAGCCGCGTACCTTCTCCTTTGTTTTCTGAAGCACTTTGCACAATAAATACGTAACTGCAGACACAAGTTCCTTGTTCGTTGCCTTTGTTTAGAGCGGTCTTTCTTGAAAATAAACAAAAAAAGAGGACATTGTTCATCTTGACAGTTGAGTTCGTTTTTCAGGTCGTCTGCCCGAAGCCCGAGTACCAAGCGGTTGTTGTAGCCACCTCATTATAACACTTGGGGAGGGGGGGGGGGTTAAACCTGCTTGAACTCAACAGTTCGCACATAACCAAAACACTGTACGTAGTTGTGTTTTATTCAGAAAGTATATTCGAAATAATTCACCTCTGACAAGACTGGCCGGACATCATATTACCAAACACGTACCTCTAAAGTCGTTTTTGAAAACGCTATCTTCGTTTTATTTCCCGCATTGTTTCTGACGGAACATTTACTGAATTGTAATTGTAAATTCGTTACCCATGTGCCTCCTGTTTCGTTAATCCTCATTGTGTGTCTGTTCTTACACTTTTTAGGCGGAATCTTCACCGCTCGCTTCTTGTAGGTCACTAGTCCAGACATGGCGTCCGGTAATCACATGGTAGTACACACTTCTTTCCAGCGGCAACGGCCATTCCACGTCACGTGACCGCAGCTTACGACTGCAACAAAAGAAAGGAGAGACGTTATAATGACTGAATGGAGGTTGGTGTTATGATAAGTGGGGGGGGGGTTCTGATTCAGACGCCTGCAGAGGTAATGATTATCACTTCTCTGTTATGATTATTATGATTCTCACCTCATTTTCTACCCCTGCTCGCCACAGTATTGTGTAGGTCTACACTTAAGTGGCTGCCATTTCGATTTCAAAAGGGACAATTCTATGTGACGTCATAACAAGGTACATTTCTTACTATTAAAAATGCAACACATTCATCAGAACCGTACGGAATAAAATAACGTCCTAAAGGTGATATTATGTAAATAATTATATTCCTGTGTTGTAGCGTTTGCCACTTTTCGTACAGAAATATTTTTGATTTAAAATGTGTTTATATTCATTCTGAATAAAGTGTCAATAACATTGCGGTATTGTTCAGCCCTGTTGCTATCTCCCAGATATTTTTAAAATTTCTTTGTGTTTATAATATAAATACTTCTTTCTCAGTAGCTATTTATGTCTATTTAACTGCCATATTATTCTTGTCATTCACAGACTCGTAACTTTACTGATTAATGTTGTTATAAATCATGTCTTTTAGTATACGGGAAAACAAACTAAATGTGTTCAAAAATAACGTTCTGATACGAATATCTACAAAGCAGAAAGTAAAACGAGGGAAAAAACAATTAGAAAATAAGGAGCTTCATAACTGACACTTCTCACCAACTCTACCCATTAGGCCTGTTAGGAATAATAGATAGACAAGCATCTAGCATGCATGGGGTAGACAAGTACTTTAGTCTTAAAACATTAACAGAGTTATTCTAGCATAGATGGGAGGATAATATTAAAAACGATCTTACACTAAATAGGATATGAGGGTGGGTTGGAATAATCTCGCCCAGAAGAGTGTCTTAGGGTGGCGTGTTGTAAAAACTACAATAAACTTTCGGTTTTCATACAAAGCGTTTACAAGCTTCACCAGGTTTTAAGTAATGACTGCTTCACCGAATTAGTTACTTGGACATCACCGCTATCACGTTACCTGTTCTTAAAATATTTATTAATGAGTTAATTTTTGCGTAAACTGCAATGCACGTTACAAAGTATTAGACAATATAAATAAATAAAAAAGGAAATACAAAACATTGCATATAAAATACATATATGCATACATGTATATATTTTTTATTTATTTAGTGTTCTGTCTGACGACAGGTCCATATGAACAGGATCCTTCCATCCTTTTCTCGGACTGGGACCTGTTCATATACGTTCTTGGCAGATGATCCAGAAGTGGTGTGCCATTGCCTTCTTCTGTGTGTGAATGAAGTAATTGTTGGGATGCCACGGAGGAAAACTCCGTGTTGCCTAGACCAAGGCCTTGCCCAACACAAGTTATAAATCGAACCCGAGACCCCAGCATACAACATATTTGCACAGACACGGTTATACGAAAACTCATCATTTGGTGTGTGACAGATAGTAACTATATTTCAGTGTCAGTATGCCGCCCTGTTGGAAAACTCGAAAAAAATGTTTCATTTCATTGTAAATCTGACACTATGAAGCTGTTCAGTGTGCTACGTGGCTTTCAACTGCGAATACGTATTTTCAAATTACAACATACCGCGCACAGAGGTGAGTGAAGATGATGGCAGACATCCTTGCAGCTTCCTGGTTCTGTCGAGTCTCCGGTAGTCCATAACCAAAGCGAAATGCCCATAAAACATCGTCTTATCTGATATTAGCTTCTACGCTTAGTGTCGCTTAGCAGTGAAGTCCACACAGCATAAGCATATTGCTTCTTCGCATACTAGAGGCATTGATTAGTAATAGATTGATAGACGACGTGCCTGATTCGTCACTTCACTTTAAGTTAGACCTATATTAACAATGATGAATAAACAGGTAGGTCTAAATGGCTTTATGCCTTCGAGTGCCTAAACTCAGTAAAATACACAACGATACATACGATACATACACACATATTTCGTGTATATATTATGCTAATTGAAGTACCCGTTCTTAAATATCACTTTAAATAAACTGTAGAGGTAAAACAACGAAACAACTTACTTCTTGAATATTTCTGTCTTCGCCCTGATGACGGAGGCAGTATGACCTCCGAAACGTTGGTAAACATCG